ATCTTATAAACCTTTATATAGTTTTCATTATGAAAATTTATTTTAAGATAAAAAAATTGAAATATATAATTTAATTCACAATATGCTTCCTTTAACCCATTTTATTTTATTTTTATGTGAAAATATATGCCTTTTCAACTTTTAATTAACATTTCAATCATTTATTTGAAGATTAACAATTCAGTCATTTATTTGAAAATAAAAGATGGTGTGAGAAACGTAAGAAAGGATCTGGACTAGGGATCACTTTTTAATCTCACTTCTATCCCGTGAATTGGCTTATCACGAAAATTGGTCTGTATAATGTTGATATTCAATTATGATTAATCTAAAGGTAAAGATCATTTCTTACCTTTTTCATAACTCCCAACTCCCCATTTGAATATTTCTAAAATATTCTTCTTGTGACAAATTGCACCGTAATTATTTCACTTGGTTTTAAATTTAAATGCCAAATCTTATACATCATAATAAAGATTAAAAATATATATATTTTAACACAGAGACGACCTTATTAGTGAAAAAAATCCTTTGCTTGGGATCATCATGCTTCGAGTGAATCCAAGATTCACAAGTAAAGGTAACGTTGCCACCATTAAGAACAATGTTCTTGATGTATGTTTCTGTATGATGCTCGTTTTGTACCAACACTGCTCCTATCTTACCAAATTCTTCAGGAACCTCAAACTCACACTTGTATTTGTACATTTTACTCTCGTTGTTCAGTTCATTATAACTTGCATACGCCTTCACTGTCTCCTTCTTTTTACCTGACGCTTTATAAACATATGAAAGCAAACAATATGATAAAAAAATGTTCAATCACATAAATCATATAATATAATTAGAGCGTGACACAATAACATGTACAATTCTAGCCAGTGTACTACGATAAACGTATTTAAGATATAAAAGTGATAGTTTCTGAACTAATATATTTATATTATTTATATCTACCACTTAAGAAATGAATACTCACTGTCAAGATCAGTAGCAACAAGCTCGAGCAAAAACGATTTCCCTAAAAAATGAGAGATGCTATCAACCAACGCTCCTATAGGACCAACAGTCACACTGGCTAGCGCTCCAGTAATGGTTGGTTGAACATTGATGATACCTTCCACAATTGTGGATTTTCGAACAGAAGATGAAAACATGGCTGTTACGTTACCAAAGGTGCAATGTATTTCGGGTATAAATGCGCACAACGGTTGGCTAGGGGGTGTAGGTGATGGAGGCACAACGATAGATTTCTCAACCAATTGTTCTTTGGTGTTTAAAAACGTGAAATGGTATACCTTTATTTATACGGAAGTATTGGTCCCAATAATTGTAGCATGTGAAATATTAAGGGGTGGGCTAAAAGTATTGCTAAATGCACCGCTATACCCTAAAATCCTCCTCGTACACATCAATATTAAATATTTCCTTTTACATTTTCAATGTATAATTTGACTTGATTTTTTATTTATATAAAATGCATATAGCAATAGATAGATTGATAGATTTTTTTTTATTGAAAAGAAATCTGAAATTTAAGAAGTAACCACGTAAACATTTATATTGTATAATCTCGTGTATCATTTCAATTGTCAAATAAAAGCAAGATCTCACTGTTCGTTACTTCGAGTCTCCTTAACGTCATTGGTATTTCCTGACTATTTTTTTAAAACTTCATTGGATTAGTTGAAGTTAGGGGTATCCGCAATTCGGTTTGAGCGGCTTAACCCCCAGAACCATAGACCAAACCACAATGGCGGTTTAAATTTTTTCCTAAACGAAATGATTTGACAATAAGTGACCAAACCGATTAAACCGGACCATAAAAAGGCGATCTGATCTGACCGATTTAGGGGTTTAGGCCTTTTACGGGTTTTAACCAAAAAAAACATAACATTTATTATTATATTGAAATTTCTACCAATATAACATTGTTAGAAAATAGTGTACCAAATTATAAAAAATTGTTTATCTCTAATATTAAAACATGTTGAACAAGTTGAACACAAGTTAAATAAGTCCATCAAACAATGGTTGGAATTTTGGACAAACATTAGTCGAAAGCCAATTTGGGATTTTGGATTTGATTTCTAATGGATTTCGGAATTTTGCCAATTTAGATAGCACTGTCAATCGAAAAATGAAAACTAAAAACATAATGTATTGGACACGTTTTTTTAATAGTGCCATAAAATTAGCCTACACCATGAAAATAAATATAATTAATGTATGTGTAAGTTTCGCACTAAAAAAAGGCGCAAACTACGGACCAGACAGGATCGAGCGGTTTGGTTATTTTTTTAGACCGGATTGGATTGCTAGACTGTTCAAACCGTCAAAAATGATCTGGTTTAACTTGGTTTGAACGGTCCAACGGTTTCTTTGAACACCTATAGTTGAGATGCGCACAAACAGACCAAACAACCATGGTTACATAAACCGTGTATCTCGTATTAGACTTTGTTTCTCATTTGATTTTAGCGGTTCAAACATGGAGTTTAAGATGTACGTATGCAGTAATGAATTTTAAGATATTATACATCAAAAAACAAATGGGGTTCCATGCACCCGCTTAACTTATTTATATAAATATAATTCAATTTCTTTTTGCTATAAAAGATGCACATGTTAAACTTTGAAGAATGCTCGACGATATTATAAATACAAGAAATATCAACCAAAAAACCGAAAAAATTCTCTCATAATCAACCAAAAAACCAAATAAGTCCATCAAAATCAATAAAAACCCAAAAAAAATCTTAAATTTTTTTTGTTTGTTTGTTTATAAATGCTGTGATTTTGATTTGATATTTTTAAATAATTTTATATGAGTTTCAATCATTTAAATAAAGACGTTTTCAATAACGTATATTTAAAAACATTAAGGGTCTATAGTTTTAAAAAGAATATATTTAATAATTTACAATATATCTAAGGGAATGATTGGTTGGGTTTAAATTAAGTCATGTATGTATAAAGTTGTGGGTATGGATTAATCTGTTTGTATTGATTTGAAATATTTATCTATGAGAGAGTTTTTTCATAGATGACAATAAGTGTGCATTTCTTATTTGGGAGAGTTTTTTCATAGATGAAAGGAGTGTGTGTTTTTTAATTGGAAGATACACAAATCTCTTCCTTGGAAGCTTACTGAATAAGCAACTTTATATATCATTAAGCCACTATCAAACAGTTATATATAGCCGACGGAATAAACTGTGAGTCTCATTAAACTCATTAAGTTGTTAATAAGCAGACTCTAAATAGCAATCTATAGGTTGAAAATTGTTTATTTTAAGGAACAAACTTTCAAGAAGCACATCCTAATGCAAAACGATAATGAGACAATCTTTAAACAGTAGACGAGTACATAGACTTTTTCGATTAAAAACCATTAATGACTAAGCGTATGTTCTAAAAATATGTTCTCTTAAATTGCAATTGACTGAAGCTACAATTACGTTAGACGTAACTTAATGCTTTAGACAAATATAAATGTGCAATAGACAAGTTTCTTTGCGTGTCCATTTGTTGGCTCACATCTTATCACTTATTAAATGACATAAGTACTTTTATAAAAAAGTATAAGTTGTTTTAAACAAGCAATTCCGAACACCCCTGTAATATTGTATTTATACAGTGGTGTGTTGATCCATTATTCAACTCATTTAATGTATCGTTAACTAAAAAGATTAGACATGGGAATGGCCCCTACCCGCAGAAAGAACATGGTCCATATATCCATCCAGTTGGAGACGGGAATTCCCTGCTAAATTAGGTCTTCGAGACAGGGATCCCCATTTGTCTTACACCAGGGACATGTATTGCACTCCCTCCGCCCAATCCCGTACACGTTATATATATTAATTAATAAATAAATTAAATTATATATTATTTATTTATCCTAAATCAGTCATTCATAAATCATAATTTCCTATTTCCTGAAAATTTTGTTGCATGGTTGGACCAACATCCATTTCTTGTTGAGTAGTTGTTGTATAGTTGAATATTTATGACATTCTTGTTAACATCATATTGTAAAAAGTCATGTTGTTCTGCATAGTTATTATTAAGGAAAAGTCCAGAAAAAACCCAACAAACTTTTTCAATTTGAATGGTGTAGTTTTTAAACTATTTTTTTTAAATAAAAAACCACTAAACTTTCTCATTTTGAATGATTAAGTCATTGAACTACATTTTTAAATGAATAAACTATCGAATGTTTACAAGTCGGTTAATGTAACTTTTTAGGTTAAAATGATGTAGATAACCAATTTCTAAAAGTACGATGATTTATTTATTAAAACAAATGTTCAGGGACTTAATCAATCAAAAAGAGAAAGTTTATGATTTTTTTTCATTCAAAAAGAGAAAGTTTATGCTTTTTTTCATTCAAAAAGAGAAAGTTTAATGGTTTTTTCATTCAAAAAATAGTTCAATGACTTGATCATTCAAAATGATAAAGTTTAATGGTTTTTTCATTTAAATAGATAGTTTATGGACCAAATTATTCAAAATGAAAAAGTTTGTTGGGTTTGTTATTATTAACATCATTTTGTTGTTGCATAGTTGTTCTATTTTGTTACTACATGGTTTTTGGGTTTGTAAAAAATCCTTATTTCCCAACTAGGGATCCTCAGGATGTCGATGTGATCATATTCCTTGGGGGTGATGAGGATGGGGACATGAATAAAGATGGGAGATCAGGGACGGGGATGAGAATCGGAGTCCCCGCCCCATTCCCATGCCTAAAAAAGATCAAAATACCATAAGAAAATTAAACTAAAAATCATATAAGAGGGTTGAGTTTCAATGAGAAGAAGAGTTACAATGAGAAGCGTAAGAAGAGATCTCTACTCTTGGATACACATTAGGATGAGATGCACTGGATCAATTCCTGTGAAAAACGTAATTTGTAGGTAGACAAGAGATTAAAAATGATCAATGGTTCAGATCTTTTCTCACACTTCTCATTTTAATTCTCCCTCTCATACGATTATTCATCTGATATTTGATCATATTTTTTATTTTCAATGTTTGTGTAAATATTCAGATATTTTACCTCTCTAAATCGTACCTATGAGTGATATATACAAGATGTATATCCGTAGTTTCATTTGTTTTGTTAATATAAGTTTAGCACTCAATTAATTTTATTATATCATATAAAAAAATTAATTTTACCAAAGTGTTTTTGGCCTAGCGGTATCTAAGTCTCTTGCTTCTTACAAAGTCAGGGGTTCAAACCTCACCAATAAAGAGAAATGTATGTAAGTTTATTTGTTACAATTGTCGTATATAAAAAAATTAATTTTGCCCGACATTAACAAATTATTTATGCAATTTAAGGGGGACACAGTAATTTTAATCATCTAACTTTTGACCATTTATGTATCTTTTCTTCTTCTCTACGTTATAATGCTTATCCAATTCGCAAGTCTTGATCCACGATAGCAATTCAAAACAAAGTTAATTACGTATAATTTTAACGGTAAAATTGGTCAAAATAGTCATTTCTCTTATATAAATTGGTTTTCTAGTCATTCATCTTTTTGATTTACCAAATATCACTACTTTTGCAAGTCTCACGTCCGCCACTTGCGAATCTAGCTAAAAGACAAAAAAAATAAAAATAAATTATAGACCCCGCCGTCACAATTGTGGACCTGAGTTAAATCGGATTAAAAATTGTCTTTTAGCTGGGTCTGCAAGTGGCCAACATGGGACTTGAGCACGTAATGATATTTGGGTAAATCATAGAGATGAATGGCTAGGAGACCAATGTATATGCGAGATTTGGCCTATCTCCCTTTTAAAGGGCAATGCTATTTGCATCCCTTTAATGTCAGAATCAGGTCAAGTCATACATTGAGAATGTAAAATATAGGTTTTGATGCTGATGTTTGTGAGGAGGAAATTATTTAGTAGGAGTGCATTTAGCCACCTCTTTTTAAATTCCAAAAAAATTCGAACATTATATATAACTACATAGGTCAAAAATAATATTCAAAAAAAGAATGATAATGCTTTCTAATTGCTGCTAGATAGAAACTCGATTAACTCTAAATTTTTGCTTTTTAAGAAATTATTTTGTTGCAATCAGCTTAATGCCAACATATATTTATCTTTTATTGTTTGCTAGAAACTAAACATAAAG